GTGATAAATTCTTCTCTTTGTTCTGGCACTGTCCCACACTACTTTAAAACTGCTGTTGTCTGTCCTTTGCTAAAAAAGCCAAACTTGGATTCTTGGTTGCCTGAAAACTACAGACCTATCTCCAAACTTCCCCTTCTATCAAAGGTCCTTGAGAAGGTAGTAGCACAACAATTAAACTGCTTCTTGGAGGTCAGTGACATCATGGATTCTTTTCAGTCTGGTTTTCGCAAACTGCACTCCACAGAAACAGCATTATTAAAAGTTTCAAGTGACATGTAGATGGCATCTGATTCTGGAAACTACACTGTGTTGGTTTTATTGGACTTGACTTCAGCCTTTGACACAGTGGATCACACTGTTCTTATCAATAGACTAAGAGATCTATTTGGTATTTCTAGCACTGTTTTAAATTGGTTTATTTCTTATTTATCCGAAAGGTCTTTAACTGTTTTTATAAATAACGTTCACTCTGATATAGCACAGCTGTCTTGTGGGGTACCCCAAGGTTAAGTTTTGGGCCCAATCCTCTTTTTATTGTATTTACGCCCCTTAGGTTTTATTTTGAAACGTTACAGTAATGTGCCTTACCATTTGTATGCTGACGACATTCAGCTATACTGTTCTTTTCAAGCCTCCGAGTTCCATAAATTGAACTCAGAAACTATCTATTAGAGATCAAAACATGGCTGAATGACAACTACCTGCATTTAAATACAAACAAAACTGAGACTCTTATTATTGCCCCATATGATAAAATTCCAGTTAACAGGCAGTATCTTATGTTTTTAAATCCTTCGGTAAATAATAATCTCAGAATTTTGGGTGTCGTCTTTGATCATTATCTTTGGACAGTCGTTGTAAATTGTTAGTTCGAAATTGTTTTACCATCTAAGAAACATTTCAAAACTACGATTTATGGTATCACAGAAGGAACTGATGATTGTTCGTGCTTTTATTTCCTCTCGTTTAGATTATTGTAACAACCTTTTAATGGATCTGAATAAATCTTCCCTAGCTCGCCTTCAGTCTGTGCAGAATGCTGCAGCGAGGCTGCTAACTAGAACCCACAGAAGAGCCCACATAACACCTGTTCTGGCCTCTCTGCATTGGCTCCCCATGCATTTCAGGAGTCATTTTAATATTTTGGTCCTAACTTTCAGGGCACTTCATGGTCAGGCTCCCAAATATTTATCGGACCTTTTAAAGCCTCTCTGTCCCACCAGGACTTTGAGATCTTCAAATCAAATAATGCTGATGACGCTAAGAACTTACTTTAAAACACGTGGAGACAGATCATTCCAAGTGGTGGCCCCGAGGTTTTGGAACGATCTCCCTCTGTCACTGCGCTGCTCAGATTCCATTGACTCTTTTAAAAAAGATCTTAAGACTTATTTATTCAGACTGGCTTTTAGTTAAATTTTGCTTACCTTTTCTTTTTTGTTTTACTTGTGAAGCACTTTGTGATGTTATTGTCTGTGAAAGGTGCTATATAAATAAATACTTACTTACAGAATTTTCACAGACACCCCGTTTGTCTACAGAATTTTCACAGACACCCCGTTTGTCTACAGCATGTGGTGGTTGTTGTTAACCTGGACCTCGACCGATCTGCTTAGATGAGTTTGCATGTAATTTGTGGCAAAAGTATTTTACATCGGATTCTCTACCTGACACAACCATCACCATTTACCCAGCCTTGGGACCAGCACAAGAGATATACTGGCCATTACACATATTTTATGAAACTCTAAAAGTTAGATTTTCAAAATAACTGTTCTTACAGTGAGTGTGACTTCTATTTATTTTTTTACCTTCATGAATATTTTCACAAGTTTATAAGCACAATTGTCTTCATCTGGATCATTCAAGACCTGCTCACACATCAAGAACAGATCATTTATTTTTCAGAAAATACAATGCACATCAAGTTGCTCATACACATTTATCAAAATCTTGGCGTTTATGATAAAACCAGCAGCTGTGGTCATCAAAATGTTACCATAAAAAATAAAATGGCAGTGTTTGACACAGTATGGTATATGTTGTAAATCTAAATTTCACAGATGAAAATGTGTACCATGAACAGATGTACAGTATATATATATATATATATATATATAGCATAATAATTTACTGTGAACAAAAGAGAAACAACCTATCAAGAACAGATATACAGTAAATTTAATGCAGTCTTTCAGTAAACACAATAAAAATATTGCAACTGTAAATAAATCACTGTTTTATTCAAGTTTACAGTAATTTACTGGCAGCTGTGATCATCAGGGTTTTAGCATTAAAATATGAAATCACAATGTTGGACACATCACAGTGTGTTTTCTTTTTAAATTTAAATTAAGATAAGATAAAACTTAATTATATCATTATATTATAACTTGATTAAATTATATATTTCACAGTTAGAATCTGCACTTCATGCTAAATTATCATGAAAAAATATATTCAAGGTGTCATTGTGTGGTAAAAATTGTTCAACAACTTAAATACTGTAAATCTTAAAACAGTCTTTTGTAGAAAAATTAACAAAAAGCAAGGGTAAAACCATAAAACTTGGGTTTTTTTTTATCTTTTAGCATTACAGTTATTTAACTGCATCAGAATTTCAATCTAAATACTACAATGTGGATGTCTGACTGAGTGAGCTAAAAATTCTTGAGTTTACGATAAAATATTCGTAGCTCCAGCAGCCAGAATTTCACAGTGAAGACTACAAAGACAAAGGAATAAACCTTAAGGGTTAACACAAGCTCGGGAACATAATTTAATTTGTGGCTGTAGACATTTTTTGTTCATCTGTGACAGTTTTTAGAGTGCACAATGGAAAGGGGCTCTTCTCGTTTAAATGAAAGACATACTGTTGAAATGTTTTCCCGTTCCAGGATTTTAATTGCCCAACCTTTTGCACCCTCTCATGTCATCTTTTTTTGTGTTTTTAATTCATAATGTGCTGAAAGTTTTCAATGGGAAACAGCAGGTGCCTTCAGCACAGATCTTTTCCTGCAGCGCTGCAGTGTAGTTATATAAAACAAAGAGAATCTGACGATGTCACAATGCAAAGGCTACCTTAAAAAAGATGTTGTCTTCTAGCACAAGTTACCTGCTTGTTGCTTTCCATGAATGCATACACTTTGGATCACGTCCTGTAAATAAGGTATAACAATATATCAAGAATCCCTGCCATTGAAAAAGAGTAAAATGATAAATAAAATGTAGAAATAATATGAAAATGTGAGAAAACAATGACAGATGTTAGTAGGTGTTCTTTACATAATGAGATGTCTTCTCAGCCTAAACCTGTTAAAGCAAGAGGTCATTCAAGCCTGCAAAGTTTTCTCTTTGCTTCACATATATTCTTTTGAGCTTTTCCATAATGTTAATATAAACGTCTGCTGCCTACAAAGCCCAAAATTAACTGGTTCCACAAAAGAGAAGCCCGAGTACAGAAAGCTGTGCCCCTATTTCAACTTTTAAATAATCTAGGACAAACAAGGGCAACATCTGGCTCGAGGGCCACAACTGGGCTTTGGTCTATTTCCATCGGCCCTCAATGTCCTCAAATTAAAACAACTTAAATTAAATTCGTGAAAAGCAGCTTTCTATTGCTGAATCTTGGGGCAAAATGAAGCTTTTCCCACATTTTGATTTTTACATGTTTCTGATGAATGCTACTGTTGCAAAAAAAAAAAATCAAAAGCTTCTTTTTGGATAAGTATCAATTGTTGTGTTGGGAGAACCTGACTGAGAATAAAAGTAATAAAATAAACTTAAATAAGAAAAAGACTGTAACTTTATAACATTTTCATTGCCCGTATACAGGATGTATAATTTAAATGCCAAGCATGTGTTACTGTGTTTTGACCATTGATTTATACAGTCATAACTAGACACAGGACCAGAACCAGGATGTTGAAGCCACAACAAAGATGAGCGCCTCCTATGCTGGCTGCAGTACAATTTTTAAATCCCAACATTCGATATAAACAAATGGGACTTTTTTTTGTTGTTGACAATAACAAAAAACAAATGTACAATCCAGGAAACTTTTTCAGGTGTGGATGTTTTATTAATTTGTGGTATGTTTAAATGTTCATTTTAAAAATACTTTCATTTTCAATTATTTGAGACTTAAAGACAAGCATCATGTGTGATTGACAATTTAACAGCCTTCTGTGAACAAGTTGGGGGGGTTGGTTGGACTTTTCTAGTGAGGGTCCAGCCATAGAGTCCAGAGGCTGGCTCCAAAACTACAGCATGGCTGCACCCACAGAAACAAGCATTTTAGCCTCAGTTTTGATCAAAGGCGTCGTTTTGACCAACTTTATTAATGGTGATGCGCTGAATCCAAAAGTAAAACAATGCATCACTGGATTTTTTTGGCTTCAAATTTTCACAATGGAAGTTTAAACAAATCTCTTCATCCATCTTTATTTAAGCCTTTGGTATTAATCAAACATGCTATATACCTTCTTAGTAATTTGGTATCTGGTAGTTTAGGTTTCAGTTTAAATTGTGGTTCTTTTTTCTTTAAGGAAATTGAACATTAGGTAAAATTAATATTGCCCACCTCTGCTGCAGGAACCAATCTGCACTCTGAGAGCAGATCTTTGTCTGCATCATAAGAAAATGTAAGATGATTGAGAACGTCCAGAGACTTTCCATATAGATAATGCACTGTGGAAAACTTTTTAAAATTAAATCCAAATATTAAACCAAGCATGACACAACTCTTCAGTTTTCAATTTCTTGCTTCCCATACGCCGACTGTGTTGCTGCTGGCATTAAATTAAAAATCAGTACATTTAAAAAATACTTACAAAATCCCAATTTCAACATGTGATGGTTTTCTCTCACGTAGATTTTCCATTACCTTAAATCCAATAAAAAAAATAAAAGCGTTATCTCCCTTGAAACACGATCCTTTTTGTTATAAAGGTTTTGAAGCAATAGATGACATTGTTTAACAGCATATTCCTTTTCTTTAGGTGGCCAACCTCCTGCGTTTGTTCCAAATACCTCAGATCAGCTATGCATCCACTAGTGCAAAGCTCAGTGACAAAACCCGCTATGACTATTTCGCCCGGACTGTACCCCCAGACTTCTACCAGGCCAAGGCCATGGCTGAGATCCTGCATTACTTCAACTGGACATATGTGTCGACAGTAGCATCAGAAGGCGACTACGGTGAGACTGGCATTGATGCCTTCCAGCAGGAGGCCCGCAGTCGCCAGATCTGCATTGCAACGTCAGCTAAAGTGAGCCGTTCCATGAATCGCCAGGGCTATGAGAACGTGATCCGCTCTCTGCAGCAAAAGTCTAATGCCAAGGTGGTAATCCTGTTCACCCGCAGCGAGGACGCCCGTGAACTGCTGGTTGCCGCAGCTCGAATGAACGTCAGCTTCACCTGGGTGGCCAGCGATGGATGGGGGGCGCAGGAGAGTGTGGCGAGGGGCAGTGAAAGTGCAGCCAATGGGGCATTTACCATAGAGTTGGCCTCCTATCGAATCAGAGAGTTTGAAGATTACTTTACCAAGCTGAACCCATATACCAACACAAGAAACCCATGGTTTAGGGAGTTCTGGGAACACCGGTTTAACTGCAACCTTCAAGAGCCCGGCTGCAGTGAACACAACTTAAGAGACGGGATTTTTGAGCAGGAGTCCAAAATTATGTTTGTGGTGAACGCTGTCTATGCCATGGCCTATGCTCTGCACAACATGAGGCAAGCAGTGTGCTCCAACACATCCAAGGTCTGTGATGCCATGAAACCGGGCAATGGCAAAAGATTCTACAAGGAGTTCATTTTGAAGACCAAGTTTGAAGGTGGGCAAATATGTTAGTGGGAACTCATTAGAAAGATTTGCAGTCTACCAAGGTGGAAGTAAAAACTTATGCTAAAGGGTATAAATAAACTGGAAATAAAAAGATTAATTTCATTGTGACAATTGCAATGTAAAGTACATGTAAGGTTGCATGACACAGGATTAGAGCTTCAAACGATTTTCTTATTAACACTGAATAAAAGCATTGTGATAATGTAATTAGAAAAATAATCCAGAAATTACCAGGAAAGAATCAGAGGGGGAATGTACCATATGTGGAACAAACTATTCTGAGGATACATAGAACAATGACTGTTTTATTTACAGCTTACATAACACACTTCATTACACAAAAACTCAAACTTTATAGTAACAGATACAAGACTAAGATGTGCTTAACAAAATCAGATAGAAACTTAATCTGAGATTTTAACTAGCTTTGCTTTGATTCAATGTGCTTTAAACATACAACAAACTTTAAACATGGTGAAAACGATATATTTGCAATGCAAATACAAAAGTTTACAAAGGAGACCAAAAAATGCACACATAAACAAACAGAAAAATACACACACAGACACTGATATAGCAGTGTGTGTGTGTGCGTGCGTGCGTGCGTGCGTGTGTGTGTGTGTGTGTGCGTGCGTGTTAGGTGGTGGAGAGTCTCAGCAGTCATCCAGTCAGTTAATTGAAACTTAAAGTGTGCGCAGATATTAGGTGATGAGTGTTTAAATGGATCACTTATCAAAGAATGTGTTGTTAAGAACTTTCCTGAACTTAAAATGAGCTTTATAAGTACCCAGAGAGTTAGAATTTGAAAGAAACGAAACCCAACAAGGATTTAATGTGGTTTTTCCACATTTTTTATATTCATTTAGAGCTCAGGTCAGCAATTTTCAGAGACCATGACCATTAGACCAGTGGTGTAGTCTATGCAATATGCGGGCATACAGAGTATATCCACTAAAAAAAGCTTAAGAATTTCAGTACACCCACTTAAAAGTGTCCAATGATACATGACATATCATTAGGCACTTGTCATTGATACATTAAACGGCAGCTAAACGCTTCTGTAACAATTTATCTATATGCAGCGCTTGTTTATTACATTCGCTTATCCAGCGAATTATTGTATAATTCTGTACTTACTACTTAATACTTGAACATGTTTTACTTTGATACAGTTTTATAAAATCTATAACATGTTCTTAATACAAGGTCAACTGTTGTACAAAGTTTGATGTTCATTTATTCAAATATAAGCATCAGAGAAATTTGGTAATGTTCAATATGCTTAAAAATCAACATAAACTGACAATTACATTGTGCTAACAGGTGTACTTTGGTTTATAAGCACAGTATACCTGTACGGACCGACCACGGTTTTACATTGGATGTTGGACAGTCATGCTCCGTGGCTTCAGCGGTTTCCAACGTCCAACGTAAAACTAACTTTACTGCAGTATACCCACTACAAAAATGTAGACTACACCACTGCACTGGACTGAAAGCACTCTCACTAGACTTAGAACTTGTTTCTTGACAAAGCCAGAAGACACAAATCTGATAGCCTAAGAAATTCAAACAGGCTTTGGGCAGTGATCTGATTTTGATTTCCGATTTGATTTCTGATTTTCACTAACCAACATTTAAACAATTTAAATGTAAATGTACCAGAGTCAGTCAAAAGGCTCATTGAGTAAAAAAGCAACTAAACTAAAAGCTTAAACGTAATAAATCTTAAAATTAGAAACAACATATACAATATCAGATGTACCCAATGTTAATAGCTAATGCTGGTTTTGCTTTGAATAAGTGAGGAGACGAGGACTGCCTGACAAACTGTCACACGTGATCCAATCAGTGATGAAGGGCTCAAATCACTGTATGTTTATAAGACTATAAAGCGGGTTTTGATGAGGATGTTGAGCTGAGAAACTAAATTATGACGTTATTTGTTCAAATAAATAATCAGCTGAAGTGATCTCCTGTTTGACTGACTGAATAAATTGTTACAGTAATTGAACCTGCTTCAAAATTATGTGAGTCAGTGTTTAAGTTGGTTTGACGTATAATCCCCCCCCCCCCATCTATTTATGATTCAAGTTCTGTTTGTGACTTTTAAAGTTTAGATCCAAAAAACTTTCAAGCCTTGTAAAATTCATTGTCAGCAGTGTGAATTATAATAGAAATGCATCATGACACTTTTATCATTACATTTAGTCCTTATAGTTGTAGATATCTTATCATACATGGCATACTCTGATATTTTCCATACCTTTGAATGCAAAAATGACATTTTAAAACGATTGTATTTTTGTTTCCCACCAGCTCCTTTCAGACCTGCCGACACAGAGAGCATGGTGCGTTTTGACTCTGTAGGTGACAGCATCAGCCGTTACAACATCTTTCATTACCACAAAGAAGAGGGCAAGTTTACCTACAAGAAAGTTGGCTACTGGGACCAGATCTTGACCCTGAACACCTCTCTGGTACCCTGGCGTGGCCTCGTCCCTCCGACCTCTCAGTGTAGCGACCCCTGCAGGAAGAACGAGATAAAGAGCATGCAGCCTGGAGATGTGTGCTGCTGGATCTGTATTCCATGTCAGCCCTACCAGTATCTGCAGGATGAGTTCACCTGTGCTGACTGCAGCTTCGGTCAGTGGCCGCTGGCCAACTTAACTGGCTGTTACGATCTACCTGAAGAATACATCCGCTGGGAGGACGCCTGGGCTATTGGGCCTGTTACCATCTCTATTCTTGGCATCCTGTGCACCCTGACCATAGTGGGTGTGTTCTTGAAGCACAACGAAACACCTGTGGTCAAAGCAAGTGGGCGCGAGCTCTCCTACATCCTCTTGATGGGAGTGCTGATGTGCTACAGCATCACTTTCATCTACATTGCCAAACCTTCCACTGCTGTTTGCACGCTCCGCAGGCTGGGCCTGGGCACCTCCTTCGCTGTGTGTTACTCCGCGCTGCTCACCAAGACCAACCGCATCGCTCGGATCTTCAGTGGGGTAAAGGACGGAGCCCAGCGGCCACGCTTCATCAGCCCAGCCTCCCAGTTAGCAATATGTGGTGCTCTTATCTCCTGCCAACTGCTGGTGGCCGTTATTTGGCTGCTGGTGGAAGTACCAGGGGTTCGGAAGGAGGTGAGCCCAGAAAGGAGGAATGTGGTTACCCTCAAGTGCAACAGCAGGGACACCAGTATGCTTGTGTCGCTCACCTACAACTGCGTCCTCATCATCCTCTGCACGGTCTACGCTTTCAAGACCAGAAAGTGTCCCGAAAACTTCAACGAGGCCAAGTTCATTGGTTTTACCATGTACACCACCTGCATCATCTGGCTCGCCTTTCAGCCCATTTTCTACGTCACAGCCAGTGACTACAGGGTAACTATGCGTGGTTGTCTTATAATAATCTCAGCTGAGCATTTACAATTTGTGGTTTGTTTTGTTATTGAGCTTCTTGAGTTCAGCTTTGTGAGATAATCTCAAAGAAAAGCCCGCCGTGTTCTCTCTCCTTAAGAAGACAGTTTCACTTGCGTATTCCATTTGATCTCCGTCATCCAAGACTTATGAAAGGATTTCCTCTGATGTGGGTTGAAGGATCTTTCATGACAAGAGCAAAGACTCTGGAGAAAAAAAAATCTAACATACATATCCTGACAGGAAAAGAACATGGTCGCCAAACTAATTAATTTATAAACGCTTAGCTGCACAACTCAGGTGCAAAGAGACCCCTTCAACACATGGTTCAAACACAACAGTTTTTCTATAAGCAAGGACGGCGAGTGCGCTGTGATTTCCGGCACCGCCTTTTGGATGGACTGCAGAAGTAAGAAAAGGCTAAATTTAGCTTGCATCACACAAACGGCAAAGAGTAAATGAGCTGATTTTGCATTTCGAAACTGTAGGCATTGTAATATCACAGCCGAACACTCATTAGAATATTTCAAGCTCCAGGTCCTAATGAGCTGGCTTCCCTGTGCAGTTCGTGTGAAGTAATGAAAGAAAACTTTAAGCATGAAACTGACAGAGCATGTGAGCTGAGTGCCCGAGGCAGACCCAAGGCTGCTGCTGCCACAACGTTTTGGTCAAGGTGTGCATCAGGGTCTTTGTTGTGCAAACAGGAAGGAGGAGGGGCGTCTAGATCACACAGGCTTTCTATCATCATAACGTATCTCAGCCTTTTCATCTGAGCTATAATCGTATCATGAACCACCGTGAACTTAAAACCACCCCCTCAAAGTCAGTGAGATTTACAAAAAACACCTGGACATGGTAAAATATGAGTTTTCATGCCGCACGCAGCACAGCTTAATTAAAGAGAACGAGAGGGATGACATTGCAACAGAGACCTTAAAGCCTTGGCTCTGTCTGACAACAATAATAATGAATGAATAATAAAACTCAGTTACTGTGTTTCAATACAGTCAGGGTTTAGCTTTGTTGCTCAGTGAATCATGATGAATTCAAAATGTAATGAATAGATAATAACAACACACACTTAGTAAAATGTGCAACCCTTTTAATTGAATTCAGTTCAGTTTATTTATAAAGCGCCAAGTTACAACAGAAGTTGTCTCAGGGCACTGAACAGAAACATTCATAAACATAAATAATAATTTAACACTATTTTTCTGAAGAGCAGACAGCTTTGAGTTTAACTTCATCACAGAACTCTCATCTTGAGCAAACATGAAGGCGACAGTGGAAAGGTCAAACTCCCTCATGAGGAAGAAACCTTTAGCAGAACCGGGCTCAGGACAAGCGGTCATCTGCTTCGACCGGCTGAGTTATGTAGGAACAGATACACAATGGCAGGTCAAGAATCACACGTTAAGATAGAAATAGTATCAAATGAAAACTATTCAATTTTAGCAAATCATTTAAGGAAATTAGGTCATGGATTTATCCAAAAGGAAAGTCTTAAGCCCAGTCTTAAAACTGGACAAAGTGTCAGCCTCACGGACAGAAACTGGAAGTTGGTTCCACAAGAGAGGAGCCTGATAACTGAAAGATCTTCCTCCCATTCTGCTTTTGGAAACTCTAGGAACCACAAGTAAACCTGC